CTTTTCTTGCAGGTTAACCTTTTCACTCATGCAGAATGCGGTTGCACACTTGATACAGACTACATACAGCAGGGAGGAATCACTCATGTTCGTGCAGATGACTCTCCACCTGGAGTGCTACCATCTACCGGCTTTGGTTAGTGGCAGGGGGGTGTTTAACGTCATAGATCCGACAGCTAACTGGTGCTGTTCATTAATAAATTAGGAGCCGTTGGTTACATTCACCCACGTTCTGAAAGGGGGACCCTGAATGTGTGTACTACAGCTGTTGGGATATTTCAGGCTGGATGTAGCGATGAACAGACAGACTGCCATCCGTAGAGCTGGAGCGCTATCAAAGCTGAAAACACACTATTACACGCTTCGTGAGATCTGTTTCGCCTCTCAGTAAACCGGGAGTTCATTGAGCTGTTCATTTTAAATTTGCAGTGAGACTCTCGCCATCCTAAGAGATTACACAGATGGGTTAGAAATTTGCACTGTATGCTCAGTGTACGTGTCTCTGTGGAGACAAGTTATGTTTACTTGCACTCAGAGCAGCGTAGACTGGCTGGAGACGCAAAAGTAACAGCAGCCGATTTTTTGTTTGTTTTTTTTAGAGGAGGATAGCATCCGAAAAATGAAATCAGACATGCAAAATGTTAACAAAAAGAACCAGATGTTTTGTTTTTTTGTTGAAGCCTCTCTTACAGGGCGAATATTTATTTTTGTAGCAAGTAGATCGGAATGCGTAAGTAAAGAAAAGCTGGATTCATCTGTTCGGTCAGCAGCGATTAGTGCAAGAGTGCTGGTTCAGGATCACAAACAGACTGCTTTCATTAGTCATTCAGATTCAATCCAAATCCAACGCATGTTTCTTTAATCTGCATATTGTGCGGAGGGTGCTGTAGCATATGCTAGTGAAGACGAGGCTGCCTGCGTCTCAGAACTAACGGAAACAAGATGTTCAGCTTTGAAGTTGAGTATGATCATATTCAGTGATTTGACAGTGAACGAACTCACACGCAAGTATTGCATTATCTAGTGTTTTCACAGCATGGGGACAGTTGCCTTGGGGTCAGAGGGGTCAGCCGAAAGGTCAGAGCAAGAGGAAGAGGAGAGGAATTTGGCTGCTGTGCTACAGAATAGCTATTCTCTGCTGCACAAGCTCAGCATGTCTCTGTGAGGATGAGCTCAGGGCTCATTTGGTCTCTGTCCCAGTCTGACACCACGTTTCATCTATTCCTGCTTTCTTTCTTGCTCGCTTCTTTTCCTTTTTTGGTTTCCTGCTTGTTGTCGTGCTTTTCCTACAAACTCATACTTGAGCTAATTTGGCATTGACAGCTAGACATATACAGCGTGCCAGAGACAGGACGATACAGCTAAAGTTACCCTCCCGATGTCTGACTATAGCTTTGATACATCATCTGAAGTTTGGTTATATATCAGTGAAACATGTTATCAGGGTGTGTTTTGCTCCACATATATTAACCCTTTAAAGCCGGTGGGAGTGGGCACGCTCCGTTTTGCGTAACTATTTTTAAATCC